TAGGAAAAGAGAGGAATGTGACATACAAGCAAGACAGTTTTCCCATGTAAGAAAAGCACTCGAAGTGTGAAAATAAATGGCTTCCAGGATTACATAAACCAAACCGCCAGACTGGAGGACTAGTCTCCAGAAAATAACCACCTTAATTTATTGAAGTTTCTTTATTGGCTCCTGGAAATGAAGAGAATTAAGAATTCTTCCCAAACCCATGTGGTGGGAGCTGCAGATGGGAATCACAGAGAGATCACATCCAGGCAGTGCCCGGCAGGAAGGTGACAGCAGAGCCATAGGGACAAGCAGTGGCAGTGCTCTCCTCCCCGTGCCACTGCCTGCCTTTCCCACCCAGCAGATACACCCAGGGCAGGTCTGTGGTTTTGGATGGGAAGTCACTCAGCCATTACTACAAAATACCATTTCAAAGTTCTTTTCCACTGCCTCGCCATACCCCCTGCCCTTTTTTTCCCCCTCCAATGTGTCAAGTATTGTAAATATTTAATGAACTGCCTGCATGCATTCCTGCACTAAAATCTCACTGACAATAGAAACCATTATTACCTTACACTGTTACACTACAAGGTCATTCTGTTTTTCTGCCCTAGTATCTTTGCTCCCAGAGGGCATTAATGGGAAGGAGAAAACAGCTGCTTGCAAGCAGGCACAAGAATAAGAAAAAGGTGTGTTAATTACCAGCGCTGGCAATGGCAATCTGAACAGCATTAAAAGCTGAAAAGAAAATTTGGATTAAAATAATAAATAATGACAAAAATGGTTCTCAGTCTCTAATATCTGGAGTCTACAAACTGCTACTTCAGCTATTATGGCTATTGTTATGACAAAAGAAAAAGACTTAAATAGAGCTTGTTGATGTGTTTGTCAGCTGCTCAGAAGACATCAAATAATTCATTGTGATGATGGATTGACAAAATATTGCACTGAATTACAGTGAGAAAAAGGCAAAGAACATATTTTTAGTGTTAACCAAGACCTACTCTATATGTTAGAACAAAACGATCACAAGAGCTCTTTACAATTTTATCTTTTGTTGCCATCATTACAAGCCAACAACACTCCCAACAGCGTTTTTTTAAGGGCTAGAAGTAATATATGACTGAATGAACTTCAAGTGAAAAAAAGAATTGCACAAGGTTGTTCCCTAAACTGTGATGATGTCAATTTATCAGAGCTTTCCCCCTTCTTGAAACAGCATATTTTTCCTGAACCACAAAGCGTATCAGGACCACAATGCTGCTCCTATAAAACAAAACTTCTAGTGAACACAAGCAATGCTCTGACAACTCCCGTCTTACTCTAAATAGGTTAAAAGGGCTTATACTTATTTCTGCATTTATTGGATGTAAACCAGGAGTTGAGGCATCTATGGCGAAGTGGGCATGAGTGCTCACTTTTGCTAAACTCCCACTAATTTGATGGAATCTTATTTTATGATTTCCTATTGTATTGCTACCAGGATACTTCTCTGTTGTTCCAAAGGCTTTGTTCAAAAGACAGTACTAAATGTGTATGACCAAGGGGAAGAGAATGACACAAATTGGAAAATACCTTGCATCCAGAGCTAAATAAATTGGTCATCTTCAAGTTCCTTATTTCAAATATGTTTTATGTATTTCATGATTGTGGGAATGTATTAACTTACATATAACTACATACAGAAAATGACTACATAAATTCCAAATTTAATCAAATTTATCTCTTTCTGTTATCAAAAATCCTTTTAAGTAAAGACCCAGGAAAATGAGACCACCTTCACAGTCTTCCCTTGGCACAAGTTTACACGTGTAAATTTAGTTCTAGATTATTTATTCTAGATTAACTGTGACAAATCTCTACATTTTTTCATGCATGTTCATTAATTATTGGAAGACTTGAAATCACTTAAGATCAAGGACCCCCACTTCACCTATAAACCATATACAGAAGCTAAGGTATTGCCGTAAACTATAATAGTAATTTCCACTGCTGGATGCAGAGATGGGGGCTCAGAAAAGTCTACTACATGAACAAAATGTACCAGGATCCACTGAAATAACTTTAGAAAAGAAAATCCCTGCTTAGTTTTTTTCCATTAACAGGCCTGATAGAAACCATTTTATGAAAGAGGTGAGAATTCTTGTTCCCATTGCTCAGATGCTAATAGCAACATGGCGATGTGCTGCCATCAGCAGCAGGACCTCAGCCAGGCTATTAAGTGCTGTAGCTGGCAGGATTACTTACATTTTGCAGCTGGACTCGGCTTTGTGCCATACACTCTGACTTTGCCATCATGCTGGAAGCATTGAGGCTGTAGGTTTTCCTATTCTGTGTTTCTTTCAGCTGTTCATGAATTTGCTTTGTTTGTTTCCTGCAGAGAGAAACAGAATCCATGTAAGAAAGAGCTAGATCATTGATCACCTACTATAGCCATGATATTTTTAGAGCTATGGTTTCCTTTGTACAAAACTTCACCATCTTAGACTAACCAGCTAAGCTAATTCACTGGTGTCTAATATTTCAAAGTAGTGGTCATTTTCTGTCAAAGCTTAAGAAAGAAAAAAAAGAGCTGTTTCAAATATCTTCTATTCTGAGATTACTATAAAAGCATGTTGTTTTAGCGCAGAATTTTGTAAGATCACCTATCACATACTTAACACTAGCTTGCAAGTAGGCCTGAATACTAAAAAGGCATTTTGCTCTGTTTTGGAACAAAGCTTTTGGCAAATACAGCAGGCATTAGCCCCTGTTGGCTATAAAAAGTGTCAAAGAATCAAAGATTTCTGCTAGTATCTGATCAGGCTTGATCTACAACCCAGTATCTTGTATAAACTAGCTTTTGCTTACATGCTTAAACCTGGAAAAAAAAACATCGGTATGGTATCTGAGGCTCTGTTTTTGACATACTATACTATGATCCACTACATCAGAGCTAGGAATACCACTAAATGAATCCCCTGTAATACTCAGGAGATAACTATACTTTTAATAAAGGCTTTCTGTTTCTGCCACACTATATTGGCAAACTTTATTTTAAAATTCTGTACATGAATGAGGATATGAGGCAGCAAACTTTATTTAAAATAATTTCATTTATCTTCTGCAAACAGTTAACTCAGATGGGCAAAACCTATTAAGACCTATTAAGACCTATTAAGGTCTTTTACCATGTCTCCATTCTTTTAGAATCATAGAATCATAGAATGGTTAGGGTTGGAAGGGACCTTAAAGATCATCTAGTTCCAACCCCCTGCCATCAGCAGGGACACCTTTCACTAGACCAGGTTGCTCAAAGCGTCATCCAACCTGGCCTTAAACAATTCCAGGGAGGGGACATCCACAACCTCCATAGGCAACCTGGGCCACTATCTGACCACCCTCACAGGAAAGAATTTCTTCCTAATATCTCATCTAAACCTATCCTCTTCCAGTTTAGAGCCATTACCCCTTGTTCCATCACTCTCTGCCCTTACGAAAAGTCCCTCCCCAGCTTTCTTGTAGGCCCCTTCAGGTACTGGAAGGCCGCTATAAGATCTCCCCAGAGCCTTCTCTTTTCCAGGCTGAACAGCCTCAACTCCCTCAGCCTGTCCTCGTAGGAGAGGTGCCGCAGCCCTTGGATCATCCTCGTGGCCTCCTCTGGACTCGTTCTAACTGGGCCATGGCTCTCTTTTGTTGGGGGCTCCAGAACTGGACACAGTGCTCCAGGTGGGGCCTTACAAGAGTGGAGTAGATAGGGAGAATCACCTCTCTCAATCTGCTGGCCACACTTCTCTTGATGCAGCCCAGGATACGGTTAGCTTTCTGGGCTGCGAGCGCACATTGCCAGCTTATGTCCAGCAGCACTTTGTTATACCACTGGTAGCTTTTGCATAGCAATTGGTGTGGAGCCACATTTCAGTAGGAAGTGATTTCAGGGAAGTGTCAATAAGAAATAAATGAAATATAGTCCTTCTATACTGAAATTTGAAATTTTAGCAAAGAAGCTTCAGCTTTTGAAAAACTTCTGGTGATTTTGCTGCTGAAAGCCTTGTGACATTATCAAGTTTGATAGCATCTTACTTGACTTAGGCCAATGAGTTTGACACAGAATGAAATATAAGTAATTTTATCCTCTTTTAGTGGAGGCTGTGTCTAGTGCAGGAAAGTGTAAGAAACCAGAGGAAAATTACTTACTTAAGTAGTCAAGGGGGGAAACTGTGAGAACGCACAAGTTCCCTCAATATGAAAGAAAGCAGTGAGAAGTATCACCATTCTGATATTAAATTTTAACTATATAGTTTTTAATTTAATAAAATAAAATTATGGGATTTCCTCTGCCTTTGAGTCCCTTAATTCTGATTCAGCATTGCACAATTTAAGCATTTACTTAAACTGAACAAGCTGTAAGCACCTGCTTACAAATAGGTATTTGTTATAGCATATTTCCTGAATACACGTCATAAACTATAATAAATCTTGGACTGTATAAGTATCTCTCATGCTTTCTATTTACATCCTACTAGGAAACAGCATGGCAAATGAAAAAGAATTCATTTACATTGTAAGCATGTTACAAAAATGAGTGGCATGTTTTGAGTATAGCTAGCTCATAGTTAGTAAGATTTATGAATATGGGAGGGCGAGGAAATAATTTCTCAGTACAAAAACTTATTAAATTTTCATACTTGTTCCTTAACCAAAACAACTTGTAAAGTTAATATCAGAATAATCTGAATAGATATATAATCTAAAGGATTATAGTGTCAAATTAAACTAAATAGTTCATTACAAAACTTCTCTTTTAAAAACATTTTCTGATATCTACTCATTTTTGAAACCAATGAAATTAAATAATTTAATTTGTAAAACATCAAAATGAACTCTTTAACTTCTCATAAAATTCCTGTGAAAATTCATAAAAGCAACTCTAGAGTTTGCATGCATAATTATTTTCTGACCAGCTAAACTACATACACTGAGGAAATAAGCACATATATCCATATGTCCTAATAGAAAGCCAGACACGTGCATGTTGGTCTTCATAACTGTTATGGAACATCCATTATTTTCTGATGACCATTTTTGTGTGGAGACTTCACGTAAAGTCTAAATAATGACAGTGAAACACAATCACAGCATCAGACTTTGGGAATCTCTCAAAGAATTATAGATACAATGATCTTAGAATTTAATCAGGAAAGTAAAAAAAATATAAATTTTTGGAACTCTGATTCAAATTTATTTATGAAACCTGGGTTTAGAGTTGTTTCTACACCTATAAAGACATGTAAGTAAACCAAAATATTCAGCTTCACTGCTGCAATCTTTAACATTACAACAGAGATTCCTGAAGTAAATTTACTGAGAGAAACAATCTAATAATTAATTTCATGTTCATGCAACCTAACATTAATATTAGGTTTATGTATACTCATTTTGCCAAACTATATGATGCAGTTATAAAACTAGAAACTATTAATAATTCAAAGTTACTCCCCAATTAATATATTTATTTTATAATTTTTGTTTTCAAAACAAATGGGCCTTATGTATTCTACTTTAGAGATATCTGGCAAGAAAGTGGTGTTACTTCAGCAAGAAATAAAGTCACTAGTCATTTACAGAAGTCTAAGCCATAAAGAACAGCCCATTACTGATCTCCCTCTGTTGCTAACACTTACAGTACTTTCTTGATTACTCTAAAAGGAATAATTGGAAGATCATAGTGTTTAATTATAGTTCTAAACTTCCTCAGATTGAATTTATTTCAAAGAAGGACTTTTAATTTAATGGTGCATAGGGAAGTGCATATTTCCAGCAGCAGGTATTATACAGTTGTCAGAGAAAGTCAGGGTCAGTGTCTCATGGAAACTTTTTTCCTAAAGGGTGCACCATTCATAGTTTCAGTAGCTGTTAGCAGTATTTTAAATTTTTGATATAGCAAATTAAAGCCAAAGATTATTCCCCATGCAGGAGGAATGTTTTGAAAACTCTTAAGCATGATCAAGATACATCTGCCTGATGAAGATGCTCCTGAAAATCTGTTGATTAAAAGCTAACATACAATAAGGGTTGAGATACTTTAAATTTGTTCATTTTTACACCCTTAAGAAACTGTCCAATGTCACAGTTATGATATTGTTTTATGTGGCCTCTATGTAACCCAGTCTAGATACTTTTATTTACTTTTTGGACAGTTTGCCAGATGGAGCCACAGCCAGGGAGTTAGGGATTGATTAGTATCTTACCATTACTGTGTTTCATATTTTCGATAAGACCTCTTGACTGAATGGGAGGTGCTCATTTTCCATGACTCTTCAAACTTCAGTTCCCACTGATGCAAACACACTTCAACTCTTCCCAGTAACTCTTAACTATCATATTTATAATGCAGATAAAAAAACCACACTCAACATCTCCATCTCCTGCTGAGATATGAACCACTATTTTCCTGTGAGTTCATCTTTGAATCACTATTTCTTCTCATTAGACACAGCTCTCCCCATCATGTCATCAGATTAATGATATTACTGAAGGCTGTTCCAACCCAGCTCTCTGCTGTTCTCTGCAACAGTGCAAAACCAAGAGGGGCACACCTGGACAACAGAGGGACATTTTATTCACACTATGGTCTGTTGTTGGCTGCATGTTCTTCCAGCTGACAATCCCATTCTGCCTTTTCTGAATCTCTCTTCATTATGAAAACCCCCAAGCCTTTCCAGGAAGAGCAGGAACACCTTATTCTCTCTTTCTTTCTTCTGCAGATCTAAAATGCATAATGGCATGTCTAATGCAATGGCAAAATGGTTGTCTCTGCTCACAATTTATACTACAACCAAGGAGTTTGCAGAGAAGAACTGTCCTGCCACAGCATCCTCTCACCTAGCATTACTGTCATACTGTAGGTCCAAAGAACAATTAAACAAAATCCCTCAAGACATTAGAACAGGTAGGAGTGTTCAGAAGAAACATGAACCAACTCAATTCTTCACTCAAATCATGCACAAACTACCCCTGAAGTCTGAGGGGAAGAAAAAGTGGAGGGGAAAAAAAAAAAAAAGGGGCCTGGTGACTTTTCAAAATTCTTTTTTTTCCAAAATGAATTCTAGAAGGGGGATTCAGATAAGCATCTGAATTTTTAAATAGTGCAAACCTACACATTTTTGATGCTAAGCCACCATGACTAACCTCATGCAGGTACTATTTATATTGATAAGTGTTCTCTAATTAGCTGCAGTTGGAACAGGAATAAGGGATGACAACCATACAGAATATACTTAGAGATACAGGGGCACTGACAAGCATGTCCTGTAATTGCTATGAGGTTTTTGCAACACAAATTACACATATAACAATAAATATTATAAGATAACGTTCAGTTGAGAAGATAAAGAATAGAGTGGAAATTGAATATTTCACTTGAAAAATACTTTAGTACTTCTCCTATGAGGACAGGCTGAGAGAGTTGGGGCTGTTCAGCCTGGAGAAGAGAAGGCTCCGGGGAGATCTTATGGCGGCCTTCCAGTACAAGAAAGCTGGGGAGGGACTTTTCATAAGGGCAGAGAGTGATGGAACAATGGCTTTAAACTGGAAGAGGATAGGTTTAGATGAGATATTAGGAAGAAATTCTTTCCTGTGAGGGTGGTCAGATAGCGGCCCAGGTTGCCCACGGAGGTTGTGGATGCCTCCTCCCTGGAATTGTTTAAGGCCAGGTTGGATGACGCTTTGAACAGCTTGGTCTAGTGGAAGGTGTCCCTGTTCATCAAAGGGGGGGGTTGGAACTAGATGATCTTTAAGGTCCCTTCCAACCCAAATCATTCTATGATTCTATCATACTTGGAGATTTCAATGAGCTTGTGCATTACAGATACTAATTTTGCAACTACATCAGCAGTTTACAACTATTAGCTACAGGTTACAAGTATCTACAGAGAACATGTCTCTTTCTGCATTTTTAACTTTACCTTTGTTCTCAGCATATAGAAACAAAAGGGACATTCAGGGATATGATATGAAATGCAAAAAGGCAACGGTATGTTTAAACTCTTATTTTCTAAAGAGGAAAGTGATTATTGCGCTGATAGTAAAAGACACAAAATTATTATTGTCCAAAAAAGAACTGGAAAGGGGACAGTCTCTTCTTTCCTGCCATCAGAAAATAGAAACAAGAATACATATTAATCCTGTTTACTTTTTTTCTGGACTTAGATAGTGTAACCATGGGGAACTGTTCTAGCTGTCCAGAGATAACAATAGCTTCAAAAGGAGAGGAGAAACTTAAGAATCGTAAAGCCATAAAAAGGACAGAAGCTAAATAACAAACACACTAGATGAAGGCTCTTACTTTGTTTTGAAGTAGAACGCTGCACAAAGCATGCCCACTACGACTATGCCAAAGACGATACAGGAAATAGACAGCACCTGGCGCTGGTACACTTCTTCGCTCTCTGTAAACAGCAAAATTGAGAATTATGAAAGTGTCAGAAAACATACTTGCAAAAAGCGGATTTCAGCACATCATAGTTTCGTTAATGATGGACAGATATGAGAGATTTGGAGGTCAGGACTGGTCAATTCCTTGACAGAATGGATGCTTCTCTGAACTTCTCATCTAGGTCAGGTTCATAGAGTTGCAGCCTCCTAGGAAAGTTTTAGAAAGTGGTTCCAATACACACTGAGAGACACATAATAATAAAAATCAGGATAGTTTAAGAGTTTCTTTGCCCTATAGGCTATTTTTCAGCTTTTTTAGAAAGCTTCTACTGTCAATAGGATAAAAGAGCCCTAAAACCATGAAGTTTTTCTGGCTCAAGAGGCAAGACGCATCGGAGGTCTCACAAGATTTAGAGATCTTTTTAATCTACATAAAAAATTCTAAGTTTTTTCTGATTAATGGTGACTGAAATGCCTTACTCCCATGTCATTCCATGTACTTGAAGCTTAGGTACAATATACCACAGTGAAAAATTAATTCAATCAACTTGGATGGAACCTAACAACTACCATGCTACAAAGCATAAGCTATTGCTTTCATGGGAATCTATTTTCTAAAAAGAAATTTCTTTAATAAATCTCTTAATCTTCTAATTAATTTTAAACCAGGAACAGAATGAAAGTTAAAAAAAAAAAAAGAAAAAACTAAGAAAACAAGACAAAACACTCATTCATGACAGCTGACAGAAACTGATAGGCAGCTGGAGTTTCAAACACTGAATTCATCAACAGCTCTGTGTTATATCTTTTTTATTATTTCAACTACTTCTCTAGTCCCAAGTGCTAACATGCTAAACAGATTGTTAGTTTTTTTAAATCAGTTTCTCGAAACATACAACATACAAAATAGTATTTTTATTCATGTATTTTAAGTAGAAAACCAACATGTAGGATTATCAAAACACAGTACAAGCACTGTACACCAACAAATCTACATTTCCTTTCATCAACATGAATAGCAGACACATAAGTCAAGTAGGTGACAGTAACTCCAAGTTCCAGGTTCATCAGTCTCAGGTTTATAAAAAGAAAACATTGTATGACAACATCAAGGTGAATCTAGGTAAATATTGAAAAAAATCGATATCCAACTGAAACTTCAGACAAATACTACCTGGTGTTATAATGACTGAAGACTATGTACAGTATCCTAATCAGTACTAATTGTTAATTTCTCAAGAATGAATATCACAGTGCTGTTACTAAACATTTGGAATCTTAAATACAGTCATTTTTCTCTTGTAAAAATACCAGTCCCTATACAAAAGCTATTTCAAATAAAATTACAAGTACCAAATATTTATTTCTTAATTACTTCTTACTTGCTTAGTCAAAGAATCAACAGTAATTCAGAAACCACTTCTAAGATGTAAAATGTCCTCAGCTCCTATAGACTTTTTCCCCTTATTTGATTTTGAAATTCTAAAAGTTGTCCTTTTAAAGTAGTGTCTTAAAAATAAAATTAAGCAAATATAGTAACTTACACTTTTTATATGTCTAAAATATATCTGGAAAGGTAGCAATTAAATAGGAAATCCTGGTAACATTGCAGAAAAACTGATTTCAGTAGAGCTTTAGGCCCATTCCTCATTGGCATGTATAAAATTTGGATCTAGATCGTAAATCCTCATTGGCAGTGAGCTAAATGTTTTGGAGTTTAATTTCTTTTTTTTGTTTGTTTTGTTTGTTTGTTTTTACTAGCCTCTGTGAAGAGTATTATCCACCTTCCATTTCCACTGCAGTACACAAAGGACTAATCTTACAAACTTTAAATTCTTATGTTGAGTTGGATCACACTGCAAATAGTTAAAGAATTGTTCAGTTTGGATATTGTTAATCTATTCTGCCTGAATACCAATTTCAGCACCTACTGCCTAAGACCACAACTAAAACATAAATACTTATGAACTGTAATTTCATTCAAATATTGCAAATAATTCAAAAAATATTTATTAAAAGAAACAGATTTAAGTAGTGTGTGCAAACAGGTTAATTTTGCTTTCTTTCAACCTAAGTCATAATTAAATACTATTTTTTTCTTTTTTTCTTTTTTTTTTTGAGAAACAGTGCATTTAATGTAGCTACGGTCTTTTGTCAGTCCTAAATAGCTATCACTGTCTCCTTAAAGATGCTTTAGAATGTATCTTCCCAAGACAAAAGCAATTCAGAAACCGGACAATATTACTTTGCTCAAACAACTGTGTGAAGATCTAAGTCTTTTGCATAGTCAGATTAATCCCTGTCACTAGCTTTCAACACATGCTGATCAATGCTTTCTTTCCTTTTTGTTTATTTTGTACACTGCATATTTAAAGAACCACTTATTGATTAACTTTACTCCATTTCTTAGACACCTTTGTTCATTTTTTTATATCCTTTAAATCTTTATTTCTGTATTGGACTCCACCATTTTTTTGTCTCCAATGTCTTAAAATACAAACAGTTAAGCATTTTTCCATTTCCTAATCTTCCACATTGACCTTTTCCAAAAACCCACCCTCTTACTGATAGAAACGTAATCTGTCTCTCCCTGTAAACTTTGAAGGTCTCCTCATTGTTGATTGCCTTGATTTAACCACACTATTGCTCTAAACATGTATAGCACAGGTGAGGTCCTCTCTAGCCAAGGTATACTCAATAGGGCCTTTACATAGGGCAGAAGGCTATAGCTAAGTACTGCAAAGCACTTTTGCTCTCACAGAACAGAAAGCTGTAGAAATTCAACTTGTCAAAAAGAACCGAAAATTCCTTCCCATAGTTGAAGACGTGCATCAGCTTGTGTGTACAGGTATTCACATACTGAAACTTCCCAGGGTAATCTAAAGTGACTGAAATTATGATAAGTCTCTCTTTATTCACATGAAGTAAATCACCTTAATTACATTTTATTGAAATAAATACTCTAGGGAGAAGATTCCTCATTTAATAGGCAGCAAAGAAAATATTTCAGATAAAAACCAATATATAAACTGCCATGGCTATTCCTGGATAATCCAGTTTAGGCGTTAAGACTACAGAACATGAATTCCACCAAGCATTTAAATAATACCAAATACTTAACCTATATCAACAGAAATACAGTCACAGACCACAGTGCTGAAAAAATAATATAGTAAATTGTTTAGATGCAGACTATTTTGTTTAATTAAAATTATGGAAAGAAAGATCTTCCCAGAATATAAGAACAAGACAAACTCACATGGGACATGAAGCCTGTTGGAAGTCTGGGTTCCCATAGTCAAGTCCCCATTCACTGTGTGTGCTGTTACATGTCTAGCCCATTTTTAGTTATACTATTAACTCTTTCTTATTTTCAGTCCTGCTACAAAATTGTTTCTCTCCCTTCGCCTCTGTCACGTCACCCTACTGAATGTAAACTTCTTGTGCCTTAAGTGCTCCTTCTTCTAAGCTTATCTATCTATCTCACACGTTTGCTACCATTATGAAACACAAAATGACTATAGGTGACCCATGGAAGCAAAGTTTCTTCCAGCACTCACATCATAGTCAAATTTCATCTATTACTAAAAAAATGTACATGCCATATTCCAGATACTAGGGTTCTGGGTTTTTTTTTAAATTCTCTTGTTCTTTAAAATTTACTCTTAAAGGCTGTCATCTATCTACTTTATGCATACGGAAAGACCCACTGAAGCATACACATAAGTTTTCAGAGAGTTAAAAAGTGTAGGGTAGACACATTTTTATCATTATTATTACTTCTAAAGGATACAGTAGTTTTTTATGTAAACAAGCTGAAAATTGACTCTTCTTTGAGACTTTATTATAAAAGGAAGAACACTGGTACAAGGTCCTTGAGAAATAACCATGTATGTTTCTAACCATATAACTGAGAAAAAAAAATAAATAATTAAAACAGATTATATTAGGCTTTATTAGCACCTAAATCCACAATATCATTACCAGCTGTAATCACTGGATCCTATTGTGTATTTTCCAAATTAATCAAAATATCTTTGAAAGGTATTTCAAATATGAAGAACAGCATTGTAGACGTGGCCTAAGCAAAATTATAACAAAACAAAAATAGTAGCTTTACCCCTTGTGGTGCTTATTTCAATGGCTCTTGAATAAAATGTCAATATGATCACAAGCATCACAGATAACAATTATTGAATATTCAGACTGAGCCAACTGAGAAACTATGACATTTACCATACAAATGGATTACTTAAGCTTTGCTCTATAAAGAAAAAAATACAAGTAAATGTGCAGATTAATTTTTCTGCTGAAGTTTTTACTCTCAGCCCAAAAAGCACCACAAACCCTAACAGTATTCAGCATTCCCTTACTTTCCTCACTCTTCTCCCCAACTGACAAACAGTTGCTTTCCATGTGCATTCTCCCATCAATAAATGCCAATGAAAATTTTATGAAAGTAATTGTATAGCTTATTTTTCACCAGAAAATTTAGCAATGTTGTTCTTCACCTTTTTCACAATCCTTGCCATTTATGAGTGAACAGAGAAAGCGTGGCCTAACAAGTAGAACACAAAACCAGCTTTTCCTCAATAAATTACAAGACAGCATGAAGGCAGGCTTTCTCTTTTCCCCATGCAAAAACTAAGCCATGCAGGCACAGCAAAGTGGGCACTGTCACCTCTGCTGTAACCTCACTGCTGCATACTTTTTTTCATTTCCCTTCATTCCCTGCCCATGCATTTTCTGACCCCCCTCTCAGAATGCCATATTGTATTAGAATGTCCAGCAGAGCCAGAACCTTGCTACCTAGGTGAACCTCAATAGTATCATACACTCTTATTGGTGTCCTGCATCCTCAAAGTCCCATACAACAACAGAGGAGGACTACATGGAAACCCCATATGTAACATAAAGATTTCCAATAAAATGCAGATTCCCATAAGTTAAAGGGCAAGACAGTAGTTAAAGCATATTTCTCAATATACTTAGATTTATGTGTGACAATG